TGACCTCTGACAGACGCTAGGGCTGTCGTGGTTGAGGAATTCCTCCTGCGGTGATTCAGGGTGGCTTAATATTGTGGTGTGCGATATTATTGCAGCCCTTTTTTTATTGCAGTACTATCTAAACATAATGTTTACACATTTAAAAAAGGTTAAAAATTGCCGTGCCTTCTTTAATAACACTTTACTGAATGCAGATCAAAGGGCAGTAACAACACAGATCGCAGTAACGTTTGTTTCTCCGACAGTCGGAGTCCGACTGAACTTGAAAACAACAAAATTCAGGAGAAGGTTAAACTTTTAAATGCAAATTTGGCTGCAGCATCTAACAAATAAATGCAAATTTGGCTGCAGCATCTAACAAATAAGAAACAAGTCCCCATTTTGTTTAGTTGTTTAAAATTAAGCATAAAAAATTACATGTACCGGGCACGGGGCACTATCATTTCACTTTCACACACACGAATGACGGTGCTTTATAGCTCGGTCACGTCCTTGTTACCCACAAGGAAAACCAGCATGTTAACCATATACGGTTTGAGAGAGGATCTGAGAGGGGGGGCAACATTTCCAGCAACACTGAAAACCCTCTCGGATGGTGCACTCGTTGCACTAACACACACGTACTTGCGTGCGACTCTGGCGAGCAAAGGGAATCTCTCCCGGTTGTTGCTCCACCATGTCAGGGGGTTTTCTTTAGGGTGGATGCATTCCTCCTGCAGGTAGCGAGTGAGCTCCAGCTCGGCTCAAACTCTCTTCGGGACGGTTGCAGAAGCAGTGCTTGTCCGGGACTTCAGCAGGTCTCCGAGCGTTTATTATTATTATTTTGCCGCTGGTGGCAGCTCTGTCTCGGCCAAGGACCCTGGCTGCGCAGCAGCTGACGTACTGAAAACCAAAGCGCTCCCAAAGGAGCGAAGTAAAGTTTCGTTTTGATACCAGTGCAGCCATCCTTCTCAACATGCATCCTTGAGTTGAACCAAGTTCAGTAATCGCGGTGGCGCATGATGCTGCGCGGTGGGCTTCTTCATATTGCGATATTTCATTTTTGCTGTTACCGCGACAGCCCTAACAGACGCACTCTGAACAAGGAATCATTTCTTGATTTATTTTGTTACATCCACAATGTTCTGTGTGTGAGGTTTACAATGTCAGAACACCTGCATGAGACAGGTGTTAATTACAATCTGCCAGAATGACTCACCACCTTCAGATTTCTCCAACACCGTTAAAAATGATAAAATACGGAACATATCGGCGTGTGCAGGCCAGAGCGCTGAAGCTCGGCGCATTGTTACTATGAAGCTAGGGCACATGTGGAGGACACACACGCGCAAAAATATACTTGTTTTCAATGACGTTTATTTACACTTACTTTTTCTTAGGCCCACCCACAAATGAGTTTCTGGCTACGCTAATGGTGACGTATGACAGACTTCTCTGAGCTCCGCAGCCATTACACTTTTCACCTCGCGCACCCCCTAGCGGTAGGTGCGCGCACCCCACTTTGGGAATCCCTGCAGTGGAGGAAAATAAAAGAACCAACAAAGGCACAAAGGCAGAACCGGTCCAAACTTTGGGATCAAAAGTGCAGCTACACGCAGATTAGCTAATGCTAAAGCTAACAGTTAGCAGTCTCGCGATCAAGTGGTGCACAGAAAAATATATGATGATGATGATGATCGTAAAACTATGAAAGACTAAACTCTACAAGTGGATGAAAAGTCCCCACCATCCTGTTTATTCTGCAACCTGCAGCACTACGGATCAGAACCGCTGCAGATACGGGTCACATTACAGCTACAAGGCTACGGCAAGCCGTTGTGGTATATAATTCACAAACGCTTCTATCTTTGAACATAATTTGAACTGGATTATTGCTAACCCGTACATAATAGACATGCCACCATTACTTGTTAGCAGCAGAAATTAAATGTTATTACCATTTCCAACACAAGTGCATGTTAATGAAATGCATTATATTTTACTGCATATATTTATGTGTTATTATGACTAAGATGAGTGTTATTAATACAAACCTAAAATGTTACTGAAATGTAGGTCAAATATATAAAAATATTTTAACTATAAATATCAGATGGGAAAAAGGAACTAAACACCAATCTGATGCATATTATTGAGCCTTTCATAATAAGAGTCTGTTATTTCAGCCTGATCATTTTGTTGTTTTATTTCATATTTTTTAGCAGCAAACCAGTTTTGTTTCACTTGAAACGTTGTCAAATGGAATATTCTATTAATCGCCAGAAGCTTAGATTGGAACACTTAACGAAAACATATTTAGCCTTTAAAAAAGTGAGGCAGTTGAATGCACAGAGTACGCATGTGCTGGCGCACGGTCAGGATGGTACCACCTCTGCCTCAGTCTGAGCCAGGAAAAACCCTGATATAGAGCAAAGTTTTTAAACAGATTCACGATCCAACAAGTTAAAAAGTTCAGATAATGAGACCCTTGGTTTCAAACAACATGATGTAAACTAGGAAAATATGTCATTAATTAAGGTAACGTTATTTCATAAACAGTTCTCAGGGTTTCCCTTACATAGGCGTAGCTGTGGCGGCCCGCCACGCCTACAAGATCCCAAAGTTTATTTATTTTTGAGCTGTTTCCCGAGGAAGCAGTGAGAACTACTATGTTGTCGCTTGTGATCACAGCCGGCAGGCAGCAAGGAGGAGCAGGCAGGGCAGGGTGAAGTTACAGCATAAAGGTAGCAGTGGATATAATGCTTTTTGGTTTACATGTTTCAATCGCATTAAGATAAATGAGCGTTGACGATCTTGACAGGGTTTCCTCTCCCCACCAGGATAAGCATCACTTATTCATGTAAGATTTATTTATTTTTTCATGTCTGACTTTAACCGCATCTAATACTGTATTACGGCGTGAGCACAACAGCGACAACTTAAGATCGATGTGTGAGCAGCCTGAGAGGTCGGGTGTTTCATCTGAACCCTTAAAACCTCCAGCAGGCTACGCTGCACTATTGACGTGTTAGCGCGCGGCGCTAACAACTTAGCGACGTGACATGTCTCGGAGAAAGCGTAAAAACACGTTGGACGCTTCTTCTGAAGCGGGAAAATAACACCTCTTCTTAAGCAGAGCACGACGTCGCCTCGACTGAGCTCGATAACATTGACCCAGCACAGCCACTGGGTCGTTGGAGCTGCCCCGTGACTGCCTGATGGAAAACCAGCGGGTTTCATCAGACTCGTAAAGTTTAGGGATGCACCGATCAGGTTTTTTGCTGCCGATCACCGATACCGATATCAAAGAATGCTGATCACAGATACTGATCACCGATACCGATCACGTGGATTGGCCAGAAACTTTCTACAACATTATAATGAGTGCTACAAACTACATAATCTGGGAATAAAGGAAATGCAACCTAATCTAAAATGGTCTGTATTAGGGTCGTCACGGTGTGAAAATTTAACCTCACGGTTATTGTGACCAAAATCACCACGGTTTTCGATATTATCGCGATTTTTTTTTTAAACGTGCTACATTTTCACACAATTAAATAAACCCTGTATGTCAGGAAAATATTGTCCTCAGTGTGTGTCTAAATTTTGCCTAAAATGTGTTGCTTTGTAATTATGTTGTTTATTTGTTTACATTTTTTCCCTTTAGTCATTAAAATACCAATATTTGCCCATAACTTCTTATTTTATGTCTGTTTGATGTCATCATTTTAAAAATATTAGATCAGATCCTCAGTACTCAAGTAGCCTTCTAATCAGATACTTTTTTACCCTTACTTGAGTAATAAACCCTATATCAGGAAAATATTGTCCTCGGTTTGTGTCCTTCCAGTGAGCTTTGCAGATGTGGGAAAATGTCATCAGGCAGTAATCGTTGTTAAATTCATAATTATTCTCGGAGAGAGACCAACTCTTATCTGCCCCTGGGAGCCCCGTAATGCATAGCGTCATTTCAACATGGGGGTGTCCGCGACACGGTTTATATGCAGGTAGCGGCGCTGCGGCTGCTTTATATAGCGACTCGTTGCATTCTCCCTCAACCCAAATCCTCGAATCACGCATTTTAGCTAAAACGCTAACGTTAGCTTGCCTTGCGTTGACTGTAGAGTTGTGGGTGATGGTCACGCAGATGTGTCATGAGATTTGAAGCGTCTCCGTCTCCGCCTCTGGCCATTATTTCAGCTTTAGCTTCAAGAAAGTTTTGGTTGTAAACATCAAAGCGCGCATGTGCCGCCGGCAACTTCAGCAGATGATACGGTGGCTGGTAAGGGTCACCGCGCCTACAACGCAGCCACGGTAATCCACCGAGATAATATAGTTTTTTTAAAAACGGGACGGTTATTATTATTGTCAACTTTTTTTTTACCGGGGTTTACCGCTACCCGGTTATCGTGACGACCCTACCTGATCGGTCTGCTTTGATCTATGTTGAAAACTCCGATCAAAACCGATAGGGGCGCTATCGGCCGATTACGATCAAATGCCGAACCATCGGTGCATCCGTAGTAAAGTTTCTTGTTTTTGCTGGGGACCCCCTGTATTTTACCGCTCCCTCCTGCAGTCTTCCCCTATTAGACCATTTATTGCAGCACGGATATACTGAATAGTTTCACAACTTTTAAATCAAAAAGATAATCAGTCCATCGCCATTCTCCTTCCCGGCACCTCCGTTCTGCTGACTCCAACCTCCTTTCCCCTTTCAGAACAAAACATGGCACCATGGGGGATCGAGCCTTTGCAGCCGCTGCCCCACACTTTGGAACTCTCTCCCACTAAACATCAGGAACGCCGTCTCTCTTTCTACTTTTAAGTCACTGCTTAAAACCCACTTCTTTAAATTGGCCTTCTCTTAAGATCAACCCAGCATCCCCCAGTCTGTTTACGATGTTTCATGTTGTTTTATTATGTGTTTATTGCATTTTTTGTGAAGCCTGACTGACCTAAAAAGTGCTAGACAAGTTTAATGTATTATTATTATTATTATTATTATTATCACTTACAACCGCAGAAGGCAAAGTGTGTCCCCACTCCCTGTTCAGCCATTTTCCTGCACCAGATCTGGCGTTTACAGATGTTTCACACCTGTGTGAATAACACAGCTGTCTAAGAGAAAAACCACTTCTCCAACTCATTTACTTATTTACATATCTGAAAGGTGGCAGCCCTACCTGTGTCCATGCTGTCCAGGTCCAGGTGGTGAAGAACACACGATGAATCAGTCCCAGCTGATGGATGATCCTGAAGTGGTAGCAGGTTTTCTTTAGCCGTGTTTAGCTAACAGCTGCAATAGAAACAAAGCAGGAGAGCTGATTAAGATGCTGCTTCAGAACAACGCAGGAGATTAAAGATCCAACGCTTTGGTTCTGATCAGCTGAGGACAGATCCAGTCTGGAAAAGAGGACCTTTGCTCACCAGAGTTCACAGAGTTCTCTTCTGTTCTTCCAGCTACAGACTAAATAGAAGATGGATGCTCTACAAAAATACTAACAACGGTTTCTCCTGTTTAGTTCTGTCTGGTGGCTCACTAAAAGTCAAATCCAGCATGGCAGCATCTCATGGAGCCAACAAGGAAAGCAAGGTGTGATATCAGCAGAGGGCTGGAAGCTGAAAAGGTAAAGAACAACACAACCTGAGGGTTCCTCGTCTCCAGCTGAGCAAAGAGCACTAAAGGGTTTCGTTTAGAGTTTACATGAAGAAGTAGTGAGTTTATTTATTTATTTATTCTTTATTTAACCAGGAAGGTCCCATTGAGATCACAAACCTTACTTTCAAGGGAGTCCTGGCCAAGAGGCAGCTCCACGGACGTGTAATGTACATGAAAACACAGGAATCCCAGCTAAATGAACTTTAGGTGTGTTTTAGCAGAATGCTATTGTGTTTTCAGTATTATTATTGATTACTAAGTCATTATATTATACATTTACTCAGTAGAATGTGTCTTTCTAAAGTTGTATTTATTTTTATTTACATGTAAATATGCACCCCTGAAAAACATCTGCTTAACGAATGCTCTGAAACATCAGCTGGCATTTCTTTTTAGCCTGTTTTGTCTATTTAATACTTGCTACTTGGTTCATTTTCATGCTGAATGCTGTTGAGTAAACTTCTGTCTGTAGCAAGGAGCTGCTGGTGTGTGTGTGTGTGTGTGTGTGTGTCTGTTCTATGGATCTCTTTATTAAAACTATTTAACGGTAATAAAATAGTTTGTTGATTTTAAACAGGGAAAACCCCACTCGCGATTTAGCGATAGCATGATGCTAACTCCATTAGGCCGCTAGCGTGCTTTCCCTCACAAAGAAACGGTGTCCACTCACCAAGTGAACTGCTCCACTCACTAAAGACGGTAAATGTTCCAGATCCAACTACGTTACTGACTGTACTACCGACTACTGACTACCAAAACTCACCAAGTCCACCGAGTTATCTCAGAACAGCACAGCTTCTAGGTCGTGTCTCGATGGCTTCCAAGTTGAACCGTTCAAAACAATAGTGATGTGTCGGTTGCGAACGAACCGGCTCTAAGAGCCGGCTCTTTGAAGTGAACGAGCCGGTGTTGTGCCATATATCGACTCGCTGCCAAAAAATGATCAGCCACCGCGGGATCGCGCACGGTTAGGGTAATTGCATTTCTAGATGAAATTCCCCAGGATTTCACCCTAAAACTCGGCATATCTAGCAATATGGACATTCAGAAAGCAGAGATAACCTCTTCCAGTACTTAAACAGATGTTTATCGCGGATATTAGCTTTTCCAGTTCGGAAGTTGTTTTAAGTGTTGCTATTTGTCTTAAACGTTCACAATGAGGATATATTAATCCTTTTTGCAATATTTGCGATTGAAAGATGGTTTGTGGTAAGAACTGGCTTTCTTTATGTTACAGCCTTGATACTAAAAAATAAATAAACAATGTAAAATGGCGCCCTGTATTGAATGTAAACGTCGTATAAATGTAAATAAACAATTCTCCAGCGATTTGATTTTTTCCCCTTCCTTTCTTTAGTCCACTTGACATGGAGCCACAGTTAACTAGTTTGGGGCACATTTTTACTTGAAAAATAGTATTTAAACTGATCAAGCTTTGGCTTTAATGACACTGTGTAGGTTACTATCTATACATTACTTTGCTCTATTTAAAAGTAACAAGATAAAAGCACTTCAGCACATAAAATTAAGATTGTCACTTGTCAATTAGAGACTACACCCTCGTGTTTACCTATAAGAAACGCCTCAAAATATCTTTAAATTCTTTATTGATGATTTAATTGTAGACAACTAAAATGGCATTTTTTTGCCAAAAAGTGATTGAATCGCTCAGATTTTCACAGAGGCTAAAATTGACCAAATAAGGGTTTTATGTATTATCTGTTGATGTTATTGTATTCATACTGTCTACTGTATCATCATAAACACCCCAAAAATGGCAAAAAAAAAAAAGATAATTTCCCTTGCCAAATATTGATTAGTGTCCTGGTCACGTGTAAAGGGTTAAATTTACCTAAATATTACTTCATTTATTATCTCTTGATTTTTTATTTCAAGTACACATTAATCTGACAAAGCAGCATTAACATATTCTCTGCACAATAGATAAAGTTCCTTAGTGTTTGAACGCTCCCAATTTTGTGCCAGGAGCAAATGCAGTCCAGCATGCTGCTCTTCAGTGAGGGGACTGTCGAACTCCGGGGCCACAGCAGCACCATCCACATCTGGGCTGTACTCTGCTGCAACATCCCAGTCGATGTCTGGCTTTTGGAAATCCTGACATTACAACAAGAGAACAATGATAATGTTTCTATATTAAGCTGCAATTTGACAACAAATAAGCAAAATTTCCTAAATTTTAATAGAACCCAAATTATCACATTGTGTATACAGGGGTGTGCAGGATTACTATTTGCCAAAATTAGATTAAAAAAACTTACAAATAGCAGGGATAAGAATAACAAAAATTCAAAATGGTTTTGATTTAGAACTTTTACTAATTTGCAGGGGTGTAATTGTCATTTACTTGCATCACCGTAATTAAGTACAGTTTGCAATTTAAATTTTTAACCTTTAGTAGGTTTTAGGGCTGGTTGATGAATAAAAGCATATTAATTTTAAAAAATCTTATCGATCAATGGATAATTATTTCAAAATTTTAAAACCGTAGTAGAGAATATGTATTGAAGTGCATCCCTGGCCATTTTATACTATTTCTTTAAGCGACAGTCTGTAGTTTTCTGCCACTAGGGGGCAGCACGTACCTAAATCATAACAAACAAGCTACATTTTTGTGTTCTGTGAGGAGCCTACCAATGAATAGCCGTAAAGGCCACAAAAAAAGCCCTGGGAGTGTTGTAGCACAATTTTTTAACGGGCTAACTACCTTGTCAGATCGTTCAACCTCCTGCAAAATGACAACAAGCACATCGGACTCCCTTTCATCAGTCAGCAGTAGAGAAATGCCATATTTCACATTCAGTATTTTTAAAGCGGCATTCAGTATGTTCATAGAGCTCCTCATTTAGCTTCATGTTTGTGTTTCAATCTTTATTCAACAAATTTTTTAAGCTTCCTGTAGAAAGCGAGGAGATCGTGACGTAACGGTTTTCTATTTTTACATAACTTTATTAACAAACAAAGCTTACAGGCAGATATAACTGCTGGTTGTTGGAACTGTGAGCTGCACAAAAACAGGCATAGTTGCTCCAATGACTGGACTCAAATTGGGTTTTGGAGTTAGAAACCTACTCAATATGGCGGTGAAGCAGTTACTCTCCAGCAGCCAATGATGTCTATGGTACGGCTTATGTAGATAGAAACATGCTGTCTAAAGCCTGGTTCATGCTTCTCCGTCAGCTCCGCAAGGGACAGACACGCACGGATTGACGGAAGCGTTTTGCTCTCATACTTCTCCGTCTCCTGGAGAGTGTTGCAAAGCAATTGCCCGGCAGGACACCAGAGGGCGTAGCGCTGTTCTGTGGTATCCTGTCATGTATCGGTCCAAGATAGTGTGTTTATATTGTGTTTTTTGTGTATATAAGAGACTTTTTAACACTGACAAATTTGTCTCTCATCCTCCTCCATCTCTTCATGCGCTCGCCACCTCTAAACCCACGTTTCCTGTCATTTCCGTCCACAAATAAAACGCTTGCTGCGCATCTTTTCACTCCTCCAGTCACGGGGGAACTAAATATTCATGTTTTTAGAGTTTTTTCGTGAGGTATTCTTCAAGCTTCTCCGTGTCTGCCGCTAGTTATCCTCGGCTCTCTTTATGTTTTTGAGGGCGCAATGCCGGTGGTGTAGACGACAGCCGCGTCCTGACTAATCACAAGCTTGCATTGTCCGTCTCGACTGACGGCTCTTTAGAAAAGAGAGCTCGACTCCATCCGTCCTTGCGGAGCTCTCCGGCAGGCCCGCAAGGACGTTGCGTGTCTCCGCACTGACGCAGACGGAGAAGCATGAATCAGGCTTAAGGCTACGTTCACACTGCAGGTATTAAAAATCCATTCAGATTTTTTGAGTAAATTTAATTTTTTGTGTGGTTATTCACATTATAACTGAAATACAACAGCAAACACTCTCCTGCGTTAACGTTAAAAGTGATCCGCATGTACAGAAGAGAACAAGAACTCACACACTAGGAGCTCTGTGGAGTCTGAACTGAGAGGTGGAGCTGTGATCCCAAGAGCTTCACTGACAGACTTCATCCACAATTCCAGGATCACACCTGTCAAGTCTCCTGTTTTGAGCTGGAAACTATTTTCAAAACTAAACTATTTTACTCCTTATTCCCACAGTCGTCCCATGTTAGTATTTTCCCTCACTTAAGCCGCTTTCACATCTGGGTCGGCAGGGACGCGTTCGGAACCAAATGTTTTGTTCACATATGGCTCACATGTGTGTATTTCGTTCTGAGGAGACTTCTTTTTTCAGACTACTTCCCTCGGAGGTCCGGCTGGTGCCGAGCAGACACTATGGACTGATTGGCAGCTGAAACTCACACCTACCGCCACTGCCGGATTAACGCAAAGGCAAAGTAGGCACATGCCTAGGGCCTGATTGGCTGGATGGGGCCCAGACAGAGGAACAAAATGAAAAATAAAGAAATTAAAAATTAAATGTACAAATGTCCTATGACAGCATTTGTAGATAGGACTCCTATCTACAATTTGTTTCAATATTTATTAATTAACTAAAAATAGTGACAATGTTTATCTTAACCATAGACCGTTTCATTGGCTACGTCACATTAAGGTGCCACCCAATTAAGGACGTCAGAGAAGCGGTCAGAGTCAGAGCGGGACACAACAAAGCTAGCAGGTGTTTTTGAGTAGGCTAACTTTCACGGTGCTTTCGGGTGCGGCAAAATGTAAAAAAAAATAAAATAAAATGAAGAGGAACAAAAGAAGAGACGGCGGGGGCTTTACAGAAGTTTCTGTCGGGCTGCTCGGGCAGCCGTCCGACAGCTGTGAACCTGCTCGAGTCAGCAGAGCCAGAGGCCGGGCCCAAGCCAGACCCGGAGGAGACACGGCCCGAAGACGCTGTGGAAGATGCGGCGGAAGACGCTGTAGCACCAACGCCGTCAACATCAACGCCTTCACAGAAGGACAAACTGGAAGAACAGCAGCCAGCCAGAAGTGAGCCCAATATAGTCTTACAGGAGCCTCTAGACCCAGAAAGGGTGTTAACAACTAGCTACCCATCTGATCCTGCAAAGTGGTACCAAACTGATGGCACGGTGCGTGAGTACTTTGCACTAAACCATCCCCCTCAAAATACTGGATATTCTTCGGCATCACAGAGGAAATGTGGAGACATAAACCGAAGCTTAACCAAGGAACATTTCTTTAGACGTGTTTCTGCTGTGACTGAGGCCTGTGATGCTGGAAGGCTGAAGATTATCCCGGAGTGGAGCATGCTAAATGGTTTCCTTGGTAAGTGTTGCTGGTTTTATTAATTATTTTTCAAATAATTTTATTAATGTTCAAATAGCAAAACAATAAGTTCACACTCAGAAAATTGACACAGAATTTCTGGTTCAGCAGAGGCAAAAACAGCCTGAATGAGCATAAAGCAAGATCAAAACTTAAGATAATGTTTTAATTTTATTAAAATACTTTCATTTAAGATTATAGATTGTATAAAATTTATACTGTAATCATTTAAGCTGTGTGTTTATAGTTTGTTTTTGCGCCTTTAAAACATGCTTCAGTCCATTCAAATTAATCTATTCTTGAATGTCTTTCCACCATCATGTGATTAATTTGTCAACATTTATAAATGTTGTAAGCTATTGTATTTTGCAGAAAAAGTTGTAATTAAATGTGTTGATTAAATATAAACAGCAAATAAGAGACACATATTTGCTCTGTTTACATAGTTTAATGGCACCTAGTGGTTATTTACTGGTACCGCCTTGACATTGACACTCCCAATCGATAAGATGAGGATCATTTATTAGCATTTAATACAGCTGTGTAATGACGTATAAATTATTATTATCAAAAAATTGTCTGATAGAATGTTTTACATAAAACTCATGACTTATTTTGGCATACAAACAACCAATTTGTAACCAAAGACTAGGCTATGTAAAATGTGAATGAACTTTTATAAGTAACTTTGGTAAGTTTCAGATTTCAGTTCATTAAATAACATCGATGGAGGGGGGGCCATAAAATGCAGCCTGCCTAGTGTAGTCCATTTATTTAATCTGGCTCTGCCTACCGCTTCCGATTGGGGAGTTGGATCAAACACCGGGGGGTTTCCGCATGTGCGATTACTTTTCATCCTGGTTGCTGTTTAGCCCACATGAAGCACTAAGCTGCTGTCTCCCTCTCCGCAGCAGAGGAGGACAGCAGTGTGTGTGTGTGTAGCAGCGGTTATAAGGACACGTCTGCAGCGGAGGACACTACAGCGCTGAAGTAGGAAGGATTACAGGAGAGCAGATTATTAGAGAAGCGCAGTGTGTGTTGATGCAGCGGTTTGATGAGGAATTATTGTTTAGCATAGGCAGACATCGCAGACTTCTTCCGCGCGTCTTTACCACCGCCCACATGCTCGGGGATTTCCGCATTCCTGAGAAGTCCTGGGAATCACATGTGAAGAAGAAACCACCTGTTCTATTCCGAACTCACGCGGCTGAGCCCCGACCATAGCAAAACATCAAAAACCGGAACTAGAAAAACTTTTAGCGCTGAACTAACCTTCAAAATTAAATGTTAACCCTAACGTTTACTGTTGAAACCATTACAACATGTTTGAGGTAATTTGGCCACTCCGGCTCTCTGTAGTGGTTTCCCAATTACACGAGGGAGGGAGGGGTAAACAGAACTCTGTTGGTAACCACGGTGAACAGGCTTGAAGAAAAATGAACGAATATCCCCAAATAATTAAAAACCATGAAGCCAAATGCAAAGTTTAGGGCAGAACATTGACCCAGAGGTTTTCTGATTGAGCAGATTTGTGAGAAGATGTCACACAGTGGAATGTGTGTTTTTCTGTTGCTTTAAATTCTTTTATTAATTGTTGGAATTTCTTAACAGTTTTGTGTTATTGCATGATTTTGTCGTGTGTTGTTGGTTTTATGTGCCTGTTTAGTTTAGATTGTTTTGCCACTGTTGACATGACCGTCACCTGAAGAGGTGGGCGTGACTGGGAGAGCGCACCAGGTGCGCATAGTTAGCAGGCTGATAAAGGGAAGAAGCTGCAGAACTGCAGGAGGGGAGAGGAAAAAGAGACCAAAGAAACAAGAAGGCAGAGGGACTGGACTA